CTGAACCCATGAACCTGGGCCGCCGAAGTAGAGTATGCAGAAATTTAACCACTTGGCCATGCTGTTGGCCTCTTAAATATATATTATGATCACTGAATTTTTTGGGTTCCCTTAAATTTTGCACTGGAGGCTAGTGCTTCACTCCCCCCGCTCCCAGACCTGCACACCAAGGATTGGGAATAACAATGACATCAGGCTCCTCAACAGCGAAGACTTAGAAGTTTGAAGACAATGGGACCAATGCCTTTGAAAATTCGAACTGAAAATGTTTTTCCACCTAGCATTCCCTACCAACCCAGGCTACCAATTAAGTGTGAGGGTGAAATAAAGAACTTTCTAGACATAACAATGTCTTAAAATAACTTGCCCTCTCATGTACCTTTTCTTAGAAGCTGCTGAAGGATGTGCTCAATTAAGACCAGGGAGCGAAGAAAGAAGACATGGGAATCCAGGAATAGAGACCCCAACACAGGAGAGAGGAGAGAAGGGAATTCCTCGGGTGACGGCTGACGGAATTTCAGGAGGTTATGTGCCCTGGCCCAGAAAGCAACCAGACCCGGTCAGCAGGGTGTCAGAAGGCTTTAGCGGGCAAGGGAGTTTGTCTCGAGGAAAGTAAATGAGACTGACAAATTATCCGAAAGATTTGGTCATGTGGAAAAGTATATCGAGGGCATGGAAAGATTTAGTCAATTGTTTCTAAAAAAATAAACCTAAGTTGATGAAAGTGAGGTGATTATTAACAGGAAAAACAAAAAAGAAAGGAAATAGATCATACTTTACTACTTGGCCCAGGAATAAAATCTGTTTACATGGTCATAATAGTGAAGATGTTGAATAAGAATTAAAAAAAATTGAGATATAAGTATTTTGGGAGGTTGTGGGGAGGGGAGGAGTAAACGGAAGAGAAACTTCTTGTCTATCACACTAAGATGCCGATCCATGTTTAAGAGGATGACTCAAGAGATCGAATACACGTGTTATTTAGAAATAGGGAGTAATAGTATAATAGTAATAGTATAGTGTATATTATATTAAAATAGTCAATAGCAGAAGAAACAGCTTCAGGAGAACAGGTGACGAAGATGGAGTGGGGGATGGAGAACAAGAAACTGTTGTTTTCAACTGTAAGCCCTTTAGCACTATTTGGCTTTTCAAAAGATTTACAAGTAATACTTCAATTAAAACAAAAACGAAAATAGATTTGGCTCAGGTTCTTTCTCTGAAGACTTCCCTGACCACCCAGGTGTGCTGACCCTTCCCTCAGGGAGCCACTTGAGCCCTGGGGCTTGTGTCCCCAGCACTGCCACTCAGTCGGGCTCAGGAAGGGTTCTTGGAGAATAAGTGAATGAATTCCTTTAGAAAAAAAAAATTGGTTAAATTCAGAAGAATTAAAGAAAAAACTTTTGAAGAGGTTGACCTGAGAAAGGCACGCTAACATTAAGGGAGATTGGTCTTTCATTGTCGGTCACAGGTGGTGAGGACACTTTTTTTTTTTTTCCATTTTGTTGGAGGGGGTTTGTCGAGGTCATACGCTGGATGGAAACAGGTGGCGATGTAGAGACAGAGACACCTGGGTCCCAACACTACCTCCAATCACTAGCTGTGAGTTCGAGGCGAGTTACTTACCTCTCTGAACCTCAGTTTCCTCATCTGGACAGTGGGGAGAATAGCAGAGAAAAAATACTTTGTCAGGTATTGTTAAGGATTAGGAAAATACAAGTAAAGCGCCTAGCACACGGTAGGTGCTGGTTAAATGGTGAATGGTTTTATTAAGCCGCAGAATATTCAGTAACACCAGCCCTTGACCCCACTTCCTGAATTCCTGTCCTTACAGAACCTTCAGGAAGCTCTGGCCTCTGCATCGGAGTCCCAGGACACTGGGCTCTGTGTGGGCAGACCATATATTAGCAGAGTGGTTCAGAGCATCTACACATTTTCAGGGGCGTCTGAGTCATTCCATTTTGGGAGCTGTGCCGAGATGCTTCCAGTGGCTTTGTCTGGTTTCTAAACAAAAATTATTTAGGTGGGAACAGATTCAACTTGAGGTTTCCATGATTTTCACATGACCTTTAAATACCCCAGCTTTGCAGTTTTCTTCTTTCTCTAATGAAAATCTGGATCATCTTGGAAAAAGAAACTTAATTCGATGCTGTTGCCCTGCATATGTCCGAGCTTCCCTCTCTCCATCTCATTGGCCCCAACCGTCTCCTGCTCCCTCGCTGCTCCCCCCACTCGCTCACCCGGCCCTTGGCCTCCATCCACTCCTCGGTGGGAACTGCTCGCTCAGAAATCACCACGCACCTCCCACTGGCCACATCCAGAGACCTTGCGCAAGTTCCTTCTTTGGGCTGCATTTAACCCCTTTCTTGAAACGTTCTACCTTGGCTTCGGGACACAGAAGATGTCACCTTATTTATTATTATTTTTTAACTTCTTTGTCTTCACTCTTGATTCAGTGATCATTCCCTGAGGTCCAGTCCTTTCTTTTCTTGCCTTCATTCTTGGGGACTTCCGTGATCACCTCTATGTGGATTATTCTCTTATCTCTTTCCCCATTCCATTCCTGGCTCTCCCTGGAGTTCTACTCTTGAGTTTCCAGTGGACTCCTGGACATTTTCCCTGAGATGTCTTGGAGTTACCTCACCCCTAAGACAGACACTGCCATCTGTCCCAAACCCCCATCTTCTAACTTTCTTGTCTTGGTCAGAGGCTCTTAAAATCCTAGAGTCATTCTTTATTCCTCTCTCCTTCATTCTTCCCTGCCACACCTCCCATCTGCTTTACTTCTTGAGCCAGCCCTCTGATCTAATCCGAGTGGCCTTCATGCTGTCCCCAAACATGTGGTCACTCCTCTGTTATGCCAGTAATGTCTGGGAGGGCACACGTCACAGTCACATTTTTCTGAAAGAGAGTCTTCATGTTAGCCAATTACATATTCGCTCAGAGTCCAAGAATGGTGTAAAGCATCCTTTGTCCCAATAAGTCAGCCAGGAGTTGCCCTAAAGAGAGCCACAGCAGGGTGTGGCCTTATCACAGAGGACCTGTCCTCAAGGGCCAGGTGGGTGGCCTCTTGTTGGCATCAACATGACTAGAGATGTGCGTGGAAGGAGAAGTGGTTCTGCAGGGTTCATAGTTCAACTCTCTCCTCAGAGTCTTGGTTCCACCCTGTAGGGAAGCTGTCAGATCTTTAAGAATTTAAATTCTCCACATTCTTAGAGCATGTCTAAGACAAATCAGTTATTCTCTCCTTCTCTGATGCATTATTATGCTAACAAAGTCTCTGTCTTTTTACTTAATCTTGCCAAGGAGACTCTCTCCTCAAGGGTGGGAAGGGGATGAACATTCCATCCTGCCACGCATCTCGTATTCGTCCCCACCCGTATCTTTGTTTATGCTGGTCATCTATGTGGGATAGTTACTTCTCTCCCGTCTTTGTAGTCACAATCTATCTATTCTCCAAGGTAGAGAGGAGTCAGCCATTTTTGTGCCATTGGCCCCTTTGGTGGTCTGCTGAAACCTATAGACCCCTTCTCAAAAATATGATTTTGAATACATAAAAAAATACACAGGATTATAGAGGAAACTGGTTGTAATGTGGTTATTAAAATATTAAAAAACAATATTGTGATATAGTAATATCACGCTTCTTTATTAACACATTAAATAACCACTATAATTTCAAAGTAGTGATGAACATAAGTAATATTTTGAGATATCTACAGTAGTATATGTGATGGGAAAATATCTATTATACCTACTTCTGTGGTTTGCAGCCTACATTTATAATGGAAGGAAATGCTAAGTTTCAGTTAGAGATCAGTGAACACAAAGATGTAATTTTTTCCTCATCCAGGTTCACAGGTCCCCGTGAATTCTGCCCACGGATTCTGAGCCCTTACTGTGGGCCCCAGTTGAGAACCTTAACTCCTTCTTCCCTCAGGAAACCCTCCTTGACTACCACACTTCTATTTGAGTTTTCCCTCGTGCTGAACTCCTACAACATTCATTCATTCATTGAACAAACATTTATCAAGGTTGCTCATATCCATGCAAGCCATTGTGCCAGAGGGTGGAGGTCCCCATAATCATAAACAAGACCCAGTTTTACAGTCAATGGGAGAGATGGACATATTCTCATCCAACTACAATGCCAAATGTAACTTGAAAAGCATCATGGGAGAGCTTTAAACAAAAGTCTGTAGTATCCCAGAGGAGGCAGAAGTTAACAGTTGAACCAAGCGAGGAGATGGGGGAAGGAAATGTTTCAAGAGGAAGGTGGCATTTGAGCTTGGCCTTGTAGAGGGAGTAGGCTATAAACAATTTCCACATAGTTTAAGTAGATCTTGCTGGTATTTTTCCTTTGTCTGTCTTGCCACAAAAAATAGGGAGGTAGGGACCATTTCTTATATGTTTTTTGTATTTCCCAGAACCTATGCTAGGACTGAGCATGGGCACTCAATATATGCTCGTTGATTAATTAATAGTGTTTTTTAAGAATGTAAGTCTCTGTATCAGTTAGTTATTGCTGTGTAACAAAGCACCCCAAAACCCAGTGGCTTTAAACAACAATCCCTTCTTTCTCATGGGTCTATGGGTCGTTCTGCTGATCTGAGACAGGCCTGGCTATTCTCAGTTGGGCTTTTGGTCACTGGCAAATGGGCCAGAGGCTGACTGGTCTAGAACGGCCTTGGCTGGATGACTGGGCTCTCTTCTGCATGCTTTTTCAAATTATACTTGCATCAAGTTGGTGCTGTTCCATTGGCCAAAGCAAGTCATAGGGCCAAGTCAGAGTCAGCGTAGAGGACACGACCCAAGGGCAAGGATGCAGGGAGGCATGACAAATTTTGGCCATTAGTGTAATCAATCTACTGTAGTCTTCACAAACAATCAGCCTCAAATCCTCTGTGGAATGGGACAGATCTAAATCAATAGAGAAATTCATAACTAAAATAGTTAAAGTGCAGAGCAGCAATTTATAAATTCAATAGTGATGTGGCCTCTCCTGGGCTATAGCCTAAGTGTTTTAAGCGTGTTATCCACAGAGACTGGCTGGGCCATCCTTTTATTATTATTTTTATAACTGGGATGCAAACCCATTGAATTGTCCTTTCATGTTTGATGTTCCATCAGTTAAGCATCCCACACAATTTTTCATAGAGATGTTTTCTTACCCCCTGAGGACATCTGCAACAATCCGGAACACACTTTCCTTGGTACTTGACTCTAAGTTGCTATAAATATCAGACATTCTGTCAGCAGCTCAGGGTCACAGCTCAGGTTTCCTGAACCAATATCCCTCGCCCCTCTGCCTTGAGTTGTGTCTGTTAGAGGCAGTGGTAAGCAAAGCAAAGTGGAAAATACAGGTCAGAAAGCATGTTCTCAGAATAATTGAGGCAAAAGCATATGTGTGTGTGGGGGCAGATTTATCCGTACTATTGCTTTTAATTCTCCAAGTTTTAGTGTAGGTGACAGCTCAATTTGAGAAAATACGATGGCAGTGGAGAACGTGGTGTGTGGGGTGCCCCAGACCTGAGTGTGAATCATAGCTCACCATTTATGGGCTATGTCACCTCTGGCAAGTGGCTTAAATCTCTGAGCTCCGATTTTCCCTTATCTGTAAAATGGAACCATTCCTATACCGACCTCTCAGTTTATAGCGAGGATTAAGTGAGCCACCACGCTTATGAGGTAAGTACTCAATAAATATTCCATGTTATTTCTCACAGACTTAAAAAAAATCTGAACGCAGTCACCAATAGTAGGAACATGGTTCTGTGCTAGTTTGGGAAAGGGTACGTAGGATGCCTGCCTTCTAATCCTAGCCTTGCTACTAGCTAGAGGGCCATTTAAATCTCAGTTGCCTCGTCTGTTGAATGGAGCAATTGATATCATCCTGCACTGAATTCACAGCCTTGTTTGGACAATCAAATGGCATATTGCAAATTTTTTTTCTTTTTTTTTTGCAAAAATAATTAAAAATCCCCTTGAATACATCTGAAGTAATGCTGCAGTTACTGGTCCCTCCCACGTGAGATTTGATGGCGTGCCTACTCTGCGCCCAGTACTCAGCGCTGCCCGTTGCTAGTGGTGGTGCTGAGGAGAAATTAAAATTACAGGCGTGTTTCCTTCCAGATGTTGTTGCTACAGGCTCAAGGTGCTCTTTTAACTGGGACACCAGGCTTTCTTGAAATAGACAAGAATTCTAGAAACATGACATTGTGCCTGATTCATCACTTAAACTTGCCACTGACTCATTCTCTGCTTGATAGTTTCTTCAACACTAACTTTAATTACATCATTTACTCATTGTTTTTCTCTTCACTTATTTTCCTCCCACAGTTCTTGTTTGTCATCTCAGTGGTCGGGCTATCTCACCTCTGAGACTTGGGTAAGCCTTCTGGACTCTAGAAACAGGAACTGAGTTTTTCATGTACTTCTATTATTTATTTATTTTTTTTTGTGAGGAGATCAGCTCTGAGCTAACATCTGCCAATCCTCCTCTTTTTGCTCAGGAAGACTGGCCCTGGGCTAACATCCGTGCCCATCTTCCTCCACTTTATATGGGACGCCGCCACAGCATGGCCAGACAAGCGGTGCGTCAGTGCACGCCCAGGATCCAAACCTGGGTCGCCAGCATTGGAGCACACGCACTTAACTGCTACACCGTGAGGCCGGCCCCCCACGTACTTGTATTAATGTGTACCCACCCCCCAGGTCTGCATACTTGGAATACATCAACAGAAAGAATACTTTTGACTTTGCTGGTGTTTCACAGAGCTTGTCTTATTGAATGCTCCCAGCTACCCTGCAAAGTATAGAGGAACCAGTTAAAAAAATGCAGGTACAGAGGCTCTAAGAGGGGACCATTATTTGCCCAAGGTCAGTGTGGTAGATTGCAGAAGTGGTCCCAAATTTTTACCCATCTCTGCACCCACACCTCTTGCCATGTCACCTGCACCGTCCTCCTTCCCAGACTCTGGGCTTGGCAACGTAACGTGCTCTGGCCAATGGGATAATGGCAAATGGGATGTAAGCAAAAGCTTGGAAAGTACTTGTGCAGTCAATCTGGATGCCTTCTTCCTTGTACCTCTGCCATTGCCATGAGAACATGCCTGCACTGGCCTGATGGAGGATGAGAGACATGTGGAGCGGAGCTGAGTCACCCCAATTGTCCCGTATAAGGCAACCTAGATTGCTCAATGGCCAACCCAGTGCTAGGCATGTTAGTGAGCCCAGCCATAATCAGCAGGACCGCCTAGCCCACCATCCCAGATGCATGAGTAATAAATGCTTATTATTGTACCCCTCTGAGGTTTTGTGGTTATTTGTTTCACAGTATAGAGGAAGGAGCAGGTCTTTGGAATGGGGCAGGCCTGGGTTTGAATTCCAGCTCTGCTCTATGGTGTGTGTTCCTTTTTGAGACTGAATTTCCTTCTGCTTAAAATGAGGTAATAATACTTCCCTCATAGGGTTGCTGGGAAGTTGAAACACAAGCCAAAATAAATAAAGCCCTTGGGACACAGTCCGGATCATAGATGATGTCCCCAAAATGGCGGCTTCTCACAGCAATGCTCCAGAACAAACAACTCTGGGGCTCTGGGGCCCAGACCAAGGACTATCCAAATGTGAAGCTAACACCTTTCACATCAGCTCGAAGGCAACAGCAAAGGCCAGAACGGCTCGGTTCTGTCCTTACAATGAAATGCAGCTTCCCCGAATCCTCCATTGCAGTATCTTGAGCAGGATGGGCCTTTTAAAAAGAAATTAATGTTGCTTAAATTGAAGGGGCTGGAAAAAAAAAAAGCCAAATCCAAGACTTATTTTTTGGGCCTGTGATTTAGCCAAATAGACGGTAATGAATTGAGAAAGGGGTGTGGCTTTTGCCCTGGGTATGGATTTGGTTCAGGTCAACGTACTCAAAGCACTGTTGGGTGCAGTGGCTGGGCTGTTGACGTTTGCTCGGACACTGTCATCTGCCCTCCTGCTTGTGCATGGATTTTTGATGGCACATCATGCAAGGAATGTGAGTATTTCCCTAGGAGGTTTTGTTCTGTCACTTGGCCTTCTTTCTGGGCCCTTTCTCTTCCTTTGAAGCCATTGTCTTCTTGACATGACAAATGTACTCAGGTAAGCTTATGGCTAATTATCTCAAGGGAGAAGGAAAAATAAAACCAACTCAAGGCTGAAATACAGAGCAACTCACTCTGAAAACTCTAAGAAGGTATGAAACACTCTTTGAAAATTAAAAAAAAATCCACATACATTTAAGGAAGAGTTTTCTTCCTGAACAGAATTAACTTGGGTTGTTTTCTACAAAATCCAGCTCCTCTCCTCCCTCCCTCTCGACTCCTGACCTGGATAGCTCTCTTTATCTTCTCTGATGGGGCCAACGGGGTGACAACAGCTAAATGCACCAGGCTCTTCTTCTAACTCATTGTGTGACCTTGGATAAATCCCATGACATTTCTGAGCTTCAGTTTCTCACTAGTAAAATGACATTTCTATAAGACTTCTTTAGGGCTGGCCCTGTGGCTTAGCAGTTAAGTGCGTGCGCTCCGCTACTGGTGGCCCGGGTTCGGATCCTGGGCGTGCACCGATGCACTGCTTCTCCGGCCATGCTGAGGCCGTGTCCCACATACAGCAATCTAGGATGTGCAACTATGACATACAACTATCTACTGGGGCTTTGGGGAGAAAAAAAAAAGGAGGAAGATTGGCAATAGATGTTAGCTCAGAGCCGGTCTTCCTGAGCAAAAAGAGGAGGATTAGCACAGATGTTAGCTCAGGGCTGATCTTCCTCACAAAAAAAAAAAAAAAAAGACTTCTTTACAGAAAAATTTTTTTAGGAGCATAAAACAATAATTTATTATTATCTCTTACAGTTCCATGGGTTGATCGGGCTCAGCTGGGAGGTTCTTTCTTTTTTTTTTAAAATTTTATTTATTTATTTTTTTTCCCCAAAGCCTCAGTAGATGGCTGCATGTCACAGCTGCACATCCTTCTAGTTGCTGTATGTGGGACGTGGCCTCAGCATGGCCGGAGAAGCGGTGCGTCGGTGCGCGCCCGGGATCCGAACCAGGGCCGCCAGTAGCGGAGTGCACGCACGTAACCGCTAAGCCATGGGGCCGGCCCTGGGAGGTTCTTTCTTGGGATCTCTCATATGGTTGCGTCAGATAGCGGGTGGGCCTGGTGTCATCTGAAGGCTCCACAGGGCTGAAGGTCCATGATGACTCACTCTCACGGCTGGCAGCCGATGCTGGCCGTCAGCTGGGAACTCAGCCGGGACTGTCCAGTGGGGTACTGAGACATGGCTTTTCCATGTGTCTTGGGCTTCTCATAGTGTGATGTCTCGGTTCTGAGAGGCAACAACCCAAGATGGGGTGTTCCAAGACACTCAGGGGGAAACTGTAAGGCTTCTTATGACTTAGACTCGAAGGTACCAGGGCATCACTTTTGCTACATCATTATGTTTCTTTGGTGCTAAAATTTTATGATTTCACAACCTGGATCCTCTGTCTTCTGCAACTGAATCAGATACAAGTTATGAAGCTGAGCAGGAAGCCAGCCGGGCCCAGGCACAGAGGGGGCTGTGTCTCATGCTAAAGACATAAAAATATGATGGATGCATCATCCTAATTATCTGGGAAGGGAGCTCAGAGTAGATTATCATCCACCAGCACCTGCTGCGTTCTTTCTGTGCCCACCCCTGGGCTCTGAATCTCTGCCCCTCATGCCACCCTGCCATTCTCTCTGCCAATACAATCATGATGTTAGGCATGTGTTAGGCATGTGAGGGCGAGAAAGAGAAGATATAGTTCCTGCTTTTTATCTAGATGGGAAGACAAGCTATGTGGAGAGAAAAAGACTGCTATCATGACAATAATGAGTCATGCGTGAAGGAGTGAAGTCTCCTTATAGGAGGTGACCCTTGATCTGAATCTTGAAAGGCAAGTAGGAATCACTCAGAGAAGTGGGAAGGGTATTTCAGGAAGAGGGACCCAGATAAGTAAAGCATGAAGCATGGTGTGGCAGGGAACAGCAACCCAGCTGCAGTGTGAAGAGAGAGGGGGGAGGTGGTGGGAGATGGGGCAAGAGACGCAGGCCGTGCCCAGGGTCATGCATGGCTTTGGAGGGCAGGCAACAAAATCTCCATTTTCCTAGACAAGGACACAGAAGGTCTGGAAGATAAAGAGACTTGACTGAAATCACACAGCTTGTAAGGGACCAAGTCAGTCTTTGAACCCAGGACTTCTCAGTCCTGTACCTTTTCTACCATAGCCAGCTGTGATCTAAATTCAGTTGCTGCCACTGGGTTTCCCAGAGCTCTCCATCACTTCTCTGAGACTCCCGGCAGACTAAGGGTGTTTCTTTCCTGCACCATTTATTGTAGTGACTTCAATTAAACCATCTTGTGCTGGATCAGTGAGCAGCCCTAGGGAATGGATGAGCAGGGCTCGCGACTACCGAAGCAGAGTCTCCTCCCCTTGTCCCTGCCAATCCCAGGGCTGAGCTCCTGTCCCCATCCTTGGGGAGGACTCAAGACAGGAAAATGGGGGCGAGGGGGCAGGCAGCATGTCACAAAGAGACAAGGAAGCAGGTGTCTATTACCGTCCGGACGCGAGGGTTCGTGGCCAGCCCTTGGGTGCCCACGCTCCCTGGCACTGCCTGCTGCTGCCCTTGCTCTGCTGCCTTCCTCTGGCTCATTTGGATTTGCAGCTGCAGCTCTAGGACAATGGGCCATCTCCACTTGGCTGCCTTCAGTGTGGGCCCAGCACGCGATGAACCTGACCCCAAGAGAGAGGGGCCAGTGGCCCTGTACTAACTTGTACCTGACCTTGGGCAAGTTGCCTCCACTCTCTGAGGCTTCTTCTGGGAAAAACAATGGGGTGGAAATTGAGATCCACTAGGCTGTTATTCTCCAATTTCGGGTCTCCCCTTCTTTGTCCTGCTCTGTGCCTCAGCAGGCTGACCCCTGGGAAATGAATCAATGGTGTCCTTGCCAGTTGGCTTGTTTGGCTTGGCCTGTGGGAGACAGTGGCAGGAGACTGGAGGGTGAGAGGAGAGAGAGGCTGGAGCATTTCTTCCCTGCAACCTCTCTGCTTCGTTGCAGGGTTGTGGAAGGACCCCTCTGCTTGGCCACAGTTTCTGCCAAGCAGCCCTTCCCCTCGGCCCCAGCCCTCACTGGGCTCCAGTAATACTCCTTCCTTCTTGACGCTTTAGGCCTGGGGGTGGATTCCAGCTGTTTGTAGTCTCAGGGTTTTTCAAGCACCCCTTCGTGGTTTCTTTAATCCTGCCCATCTTGCTGTAAATAGTCCCTCCTCATTAAAGTCTCTTCAGTTGAACTATTTGAGCGGCATCGTGTTTCCCGCTGGGACACTGATGCATCCT